AGGCAGGCTCCGCCCGGCAGAGCTTTTGCTGTTTGTTCCTTACGATGCCTTCGGAGAATAAAAAGGCAAAGCCACGATACATGCCCGAGGATCCGAAACCCAAACTGCTGGTGTTTCCAAGAACGTTGTCCCAAACTCCAGAGCAAGCAAAAAAAAAAAAACAACCCAATAACCTGTACTAAGAAACATGATTTAAAGAATTATTGAACTTTAATTTTGCAGACCCTGAAAATACAATTTCTGTCTTAGGAACTTTTACTATAAACTTCTCACCTTTGAGAGCTTCAAGTTTTTCGTTCTTGACTTTCAACACGACATCAGTTATCTTTTCTAGCAGGAAGTTTTGCGTTCTTTCTCGCCTGATAGATTCAATCAAAGCATCTAGTCCCTTCGGGTTTTCCGCTAAGTAGTCCAATAACTTCCCAGTTTTTTTCCTACTGGAAGATCGAGACGAAATTTCTTCCGTGTCCTCTCTAGTGAGGATTTTCTTTGAACGCAGGTAATCAAAGTGTCTCTCAGCTATGATTTTATCGCACAGGTAAGGGCGCATCCTTTCTAAAGCCTGCAAAACAAAACAGACCAGCGTTAGCCCATCCTCCTGTCTGTTGTGTTTGAAACCTGTTGGTTTTGATACGGGTTAATGCAACAGTTTTGGAAGCTGCCACCGTGTTACTTTGCAGAAATTATTCTCAGTGTAAAAAACTAAATCGCTGTAAATGTTATCTAATGTATTTATCCCTTTTGTTAGTTTTCTTGGGAGCGAGCTCGGGAGTTTTAATGCCAGCAGTAAGGTGAATACTTACTGAAAACGTTAATTACATCACGTCTGTGGTTATCACATCACAGCGCAGTCACCCAGTAAAAACGAAAAGAAATGACACCAGCACAACACGGCAGCACCTACTCACTTCGCCTACAGACACGCTCCTTCTCACCGACTACCGCGCCACCGCTTCGAGCTCCTCCTTGGAAGATCAAGTGTCCTCTCCTCTACTGACCAGGCCATTTTCAGTTACCAAAACCACCCCCTGCTCTCCCTCCACCTTGTCCAGAGGGTCTATACAAGCACAAACATCACCAAAACATGAATGATGTTCATCTTACTCCAACCTGTACAACAAGCCTGCCTGATATCGGCATCGAAACAGAATTAACGCCTGTGTTGACAACCCTCTGGTTTCAGTGGCTGCTGCCCTGCGAAGGCGAGACTCCCCAACAAACCTCTGGGCTGGACAAACAAGCTCCCAGGTCACAGACCACCACAACACCGGCGGCTTCCCCCGCCAACCTTTTTCACTGCACGGAATTACACAAGAAGTCAAGACACCCACGAGCTGAATAGCAGTGATGTGAAAAAAGCTAAGCCCCCAAAGTGTCGTTTGATTCAAAAAAAAAAAAGACAAAAAACAATTTGAGAGCCGGAAGGAAAACCACTTTTACATTAAAAACGTAAAAGCAGCGTCCTGCTGGTCCTAACGATCGTCGTGATCCCCGGTGGGAAAAGCTTCCTGCACCTGGGATCTCAGGGCCGCCTTGGCGCCGCGGTGGTGGCTATCGATCTCTTCCCTCTCTTTGCTTCACTTTGGTGAAGAGATGGAAAGAAACAAAACTTCTTTCTTGAAGAAGGTTTTCAAATATCCTCCTGCTTTTCGAGACAGGAATCCATAACAGCTACATTTAAAAAATTAAAATCCGAAAATGTCTCTTTGCCTCATTGACCAGCTCAGCAGAGAGAAGCGGAGGAAAAGCTGGGTATAAAGAGGCACTTTAAGACAAATTATTTCCAACAGCAAAGTACTGCCTGGCACGCTGGCGCTAGGGAAAGCGCCACTAACTCCTAAGGAAGGAATTTCCCGGACTGCTCCGCTCAGCATGGCAGAGGCTCAGTGTCCTGCTCATCGCTCTTCAGGATCCCACAAGCGCTGAGCTCCCCGCAACCAGCCAGCGGTCACCCAGCCGGAGAAGAAAACGCCGGAGGAGCACGCACGGAAGAGAAAAGGCGGCTTTTGGCTGTAGACTATCACCCTCAGACTGAACACAACCCAAAGCTGTAAGGGTGCAGCTCCACGGGGGCCAGTTTAAGTGTCACACTCCCCACTGCTGCGTGTCCCTTCCCCTTGTACTGGGCGACGGGAGGAACCAGTCAGGAAATCAAACTGGTGCTTTTTCTTCCCCTCCCACAGCCAGATGAATCACCGGATCCAGCTTCACGTGCAGGCACGCTGGCACCAGCGGCGGCACAACAGCTACGACAAGAGCAGGAGAGAGCTTGCACCGACGTAGGCGGCTCCGGGACACATCCCAAGCGTCCAAGCGCCACAAGCCCACTGGATTTCTGCAGTTCCCGTGGAAATCTCATCCCACCGCCCGAAGGATCCCTCCACACCCTCTGAAACAGAAGCCAGTCTCCTTCAACGTGAGGAGAACAGAGCGAGTTGCTGTTGAGTAGGAAGACTCTTGTGTTTTGATTAACACCTTCCTGCAACGAGGCTTTCGCTGGATGAGCTCTACCGGTGCTGAGCTCCCCTCACCGGTTCACAGCTGGTAAGGGACAGAAAGCATAAACACGTTGGAACAGAAGCTTTAACTGTCCTTTGCTCTGCCCTATGATTTGGTACCTCCTTCCCAGCTCTGGAATGCGACTCCGACCTTCACAATTCCTCCTCCAGACAAGCGCACCCAGACCAAGTCAGCCCTGCAGGTCAGCTGCCACACAACGTACCCAGAACTCCCAGTAAAACAGCACCTCTGTGCGAAGGGATCCTCCCCCAGTGACCCCAACAGCTCGGGGAGCTCGCCCTGAGCCCGCGCTTTGGGTCGTGAAGCCACAGCATTTAAAACCTGAGAGAAGAAGCTCCCAAGTCAGATTTATTGGATTGCATTTTGATGATAAAATAAAGGTTATTTCTACGCATTAAATTTCCACCCAGTCCTCCAATTACTACGGGAAACCCTGTAAGAGTAAGGGCTGAAGCGACGTGCGCGCGCTTCCGCGAGATGCAGCCACAAACTCAGTTGCTGACACAGATTCACACACAAATCATGTTTTATATATATATATACACACACATTCTCTGATTTAAGCAGTTCTTATCTTCTACTGGCGTAACGACCGGATGCCAACTACTGCAGTATTACCCTGTGGTTCCACAGAAGCGAGTAATAACTTGAAAAACACGCCTCACAAAACCATGACAAAGCATTTAAAGACTATTATGTACGCACAAAGCCAGTGAGAAACCAAAGCCAAACTCCAAACGCTCTTTATTGTCCTTTAAAGGAACAAAAAAACCCCAAATAACTCAAGCGTAAGACACTGTAAATTACAAGCAGAAGCATAGGCGGTCAATAAATAATCGATAAACTGTGAGTTATTTTAATCAACCAATTGTTTGTGGAGGTTGGTTTGCTCATTGCTTGCTTCCCAGTCTAGCAAAGACAGAAATAAATCCAGGCGAATCAAGGTGAAGTCTTGCCTCAGATTCCAGAATAAATATGAGGGGGGGGGGGGAGGGGGGGGGGGGAGAAAATACCAGGAATATATAGAACAAAAAGTCTCAAAAAAAAAAAAAAAAAGACTATTTAATCCAAATATTCATGCTCTCTAAGAGAGAATCTGATTAAGAGCAAGCGAAGCCCGTACATCTGCAGGTAACCTTTGGGTGCCACCTCAGCTGCTCACCACCTCTCCCAGCACTTCTAGGGCCCCCCAAAACCGACCCCTTGCTCCCGCGCCCTCAAAACGCGGCGAAGGCGACGCCCGCTCAGAGGAAAACTAAAGGAAACGGAACTTGACCGGCCCCAGGGTTCGGGCT